CATTCCTGGCTAGGTTTGAGGCTGTGTCCAACAGACAGACAGGTGGCTTGGAGCAGGGTATCCAAGTGTGATGCAGAACTACACTGTTGTAGATGGGAGGACACTAGAGGTTGTAGAGTCTGGGAATTACTTTCTTTCATGGTCTCTATCTCACATGGCTGGGCAATCCCTAGAAAGGTTTGAAGGGGTACAGGAGGGGAGAGGGGAGTTGAATTAGGGGAGAGAGGGAGTTTGGATCAAGTCAAGATTGAGCCTCCAGGCAGAAATGAGGAGGAGGAATCTGACCAGGAATTTGGTGGTATGCAGGTGTACTCTTTAAATTTAAATTGTGAACCAGGATGGAAAACTCAGAAGTCATCTAGTTCAAGGATGCCAAAACCCATGCTGTCCACCCTACCTCCCTCATCCAAGGCTGACATCACTAACGGACCCCAGTACTCTTTCTCACCCAGCCTGGAGGTACCTCACAGTCTTCAAAACAATAGTCAGGTAACAATTATTGCTCATAATTTTGCATACCAATAAAATTTCACAAACTTTCTTGATCTATATTATCCACCCACTGTATGAATGAGGAATACTTAATAATAACTCATTTAATCCTCATAACAACCCCTTAAAAAGAAACCAAGTGGGGGAGATAAGGAGACAGTAGCATAAAGAGGTCAAGTACATTCCAAAGGTACCCAGCTTTGGAGTGGTGGAGCTGGGCTCCAAATGCAGGCACCCGTGCTCCAGAGCCTTTGCTCTTTGCCAATTTGCCCTGTCACATGGATGAGACTCTGGCTGTAGGTTTATCACAGAGCAAACGAGCATGTGCATTTTAGAATATTATATTTGTAGATTCATGGAATGCCAACATTTACAGGATATTTAAACCATTCTAAGAGACAATCATGGTAAAGGTGAAATCATCTTTGTAAGCTTGCCAAATCAGAGTCTAAGAGCTTTTATGAGAAGTTTCAGAAATGTGCCTTATAGGGCAACGGTTTATGGTCAACTACCTTTTGATCTCTCATGTGAAAAATATGTACTTACATATATTGCAGGAAACCTTACCACTTCCTTCCTAAGTGTCGGTCAAAAACACTAATTACTTGACTAATTGGACTGTGAAACTTCCCTTACAGATGGTAAAAATGGGTTATTTTCACCCCACAAATTTAGTTGTGACATACCACCAAAAAAATGTAGAAATGTCTCAATGGTTTTATTGTAGACAGAATGAACAATTTAAGCAAATCATATAAAAATAAATTAGAAACTAATGAAAATAGTCTGTTCTTCCGTAAGAGGGGATATAACCCGATCTGCGGGAGTAAAGAGCCAAGGCGGCAGGCCTGCCACCAAGGAAATACCCACTCGACAAGAGAGTGGGGCACCCCAAATGAATCTGAGTCCTAACCTGATTCATGATTTTTGCGTACTTTTAAAAATTGTACCTGTTGTCACAGGCTAAGGCAACATTGCTTCCTTTGTTTTCTTCAGACTTTTCTAAGTCTAAGAGAAAAGCCAGGATGACAGTCTCTCTTTAGCTCTGCATTCATAATATTTCATACTGCCTCATTAGCACATTTGCCAAAAGAATCAGTACCGAATAAAATGGGATCTAATACCAAGTATTGCAGTACAGGAAAGGAAATGTCTCTTTGACGGGTTACTAATGCTTGTGTAGAAAAGCCTCTGAGCTCCTGGATCTGGTACCTATGCCGCGTGTCTGTTGAGAGAAGCTGAAACTCACAGGTGAGACACTCACCAGCATCGAGGCTGCCAGTAGCTGCTGTCCAGCCCATGACAGGTGGGATGGCCCCAACAACAGCTCCAACCCATGTGTTGGCAATGCTGATCCTCTTCAATGGGGTATAACAGCAGGTATACAGGAAAATGTTGAAGACTCCCAGGGCTCCTGTGAGTGGATTTACCCCCCAGGTCAGAAGGGCAACTCCAGGAATAGCACAGCAAGTGGCAAAGGACACAGCTAGCAATGGGCTGGAAAAGAGTAGAGAACACAGAGCAGTCACTTTCTGTGCTAGTTAACCATGCTGCACGGATCAGAGCTGACGAAAGGCAAATCATCCACCTATATGATGAAGCAACCTGGGAGGCAGTGCTGGTTTGGATTCTTCTCTGTTATGGGGCATCCTCTTTATTAAGCTTAAAATAAGGAGGGATTGTGTTTGCAGGAGCTCTGGCTGCTCCTCTTGATTTTGTTGGCTGGAAATAAAAAAGTTAAAGTTGAGGTTAGCGTGCCCTGGATTTGGATATAGGTTTTGTCCCTCCTGGAGATAGGATGGCCCAGCCTCACTTTGCTCTTCTGTACAGAAGAGATGATTACCTGATTACCTCTTGTCCTGAGAGCTGACTGAGAGACTGCGTCTGCTTTGCACAGGTTTCTGTTTTATAGTCAGTGCTAAGTAAGTAATAGCTATGGATAAAGCACTTGGAACACAACTTTGTAAGATTCCAGCAAAAAATAATATCTCAATTATAGAAGTACTTCTGCCCATTTATACTTTATTTAAAAGCATCACCTAATTAACAATAATGAATAACAACAGTCTGCCTGATTGTACCTATCTGTAATAAATTACAGGCTCAGCATGGTACCAGCTCTGCACCAACAGTAAAACAGCAGGAGCTGCTTCTCAGGCTAGTGTACTTTCAGTTCAGTTTCAGTACCATAGCTGGGTTTACAGACTCAGGCCTTTCAAGAGGAAGTAGCACAATGTTGTAAATGCAAATGAAAACTGTCAAATAAAACTCTACAATGGTAATGATGATTATAAGCCTCATTCTCAACAGGGTCCACTTTTTAGAGCAGACTTTGTATAGAATCTTGTGGAAGACTTTGTAGATAAATTCGATCTACTAGTTCCTGATTATTTGCATTTGTATTTAATCTTTCCTAAGAAACGTGGGGGAGGTTACTAAACCCTACCTTCTCTTTATAGAAGCCATAATTCTGCGTGAGGAAATGGTTTCCATAGCGTTCAGTGATCTTACTCAATCAGATTCCACAACGTGCTCACTTGAGAAGCAAGAGTCGCCGGTGTGCAGCTTCTAGGGTGCTCTGGTTTTGGCAATGGTCAGCTCCCCAAGGAAGACAAATTTTACCTTTCACACACGTGAGATAATAACACCCTTCTGTTCACAGGGCTGCAGTGTTCCTCCGGCAAGAGAAGCCCTGTGTTCCAAGACTGCCTGCCCCTTTAGGAAAAAGACTAAGCTGTAGAATTATGACAAACTATAACTCAGCCGGGAATAAGAGATGGGGAGAGCCCACAAGAGTTGAAAATACCAAGTGAAGTCAGGGAAATAGAACATGAAAGCTGAAAGTGACTTGGAGAATTCCAGCTCATACTCTGATACAGTGACCAGCACTGACTCTCCTCCCAGCCTGTGTCCACTCTGCCCCAGAGACAGAACCCCACAGAATGCAGGTTTTGATGGAAATAGAGAACACACAAGGGATATGTTGTTGTCAAGATGCTTGTGACAGAAGAACCATAAACTACATCTGAGAGACTTCTTACTGCATGTTCAATCCTGAGGGTGAGTTCCCATCCACAGTCCTGACTTCTTCTAAGTCTTGTGGTCAATTACTTCCATAGCCCTTACTCCAGCACTCAATCTTTATTCTGCCTTGTCCTTCTATCAGTCCCACCCTGACGATTCCCATTTCTGAAACTGCTCAATGACTTCTTGTCTCCGCT